GATAGATAGATAGATAGATAGATAGATAGATAGATAGATAGATAGATCGATGATAGATAGATGATAGATCGATTGATTGATCGATAGGTAGGTAGGTAGGTAGGTAGGTAGATCTCGTGTATGTATATGCATGTTTAGACCAGAGAAAGTGATACAAAGCTAGAGTATCTCTGAAATGCATGGGCATGTGGCATAGAGGACACTCAATGAATGTTCTCTTTCCGTGCCAATTTTAAAAGTTCATTCTTAAAAATATTATTTTACTAAGTGTGGATGTTTTTAATGCACGTATATACACCACATGCTTGCCTTATTCCCATGGAAGACAGAAGAGGGTGTTGGATCCCCTGAAACTGGAATTTGAAATAGGTATGAGCCTCTGTGTTGGTGCCACAAATTGAGCCTGGGTCTTTTGGAAGAGCAGCTAGCACTCTTAACCTGTGACCCGTCCTGCCAGCCCTTGAAACTTCATTTTATGTCACAGATGCAAAGAGATAATGTTCACTCTGCACATCCATTTACTTGATATGTTAGGTTACAAGACTCTTGGTAATGAAACAGACTAAGAGGGAAGTAGCAATTTTCTGTTGTGAGTTTGCTTAAGTGCCAGCTTGTATCATCAGTTCTTTAGAATTTAAACATTTACCTTTTATGGATTGGATACTGACTTTGAGTGACCAACTGAAGCAAGAGCAACCAGGTGAGGAAAATAATTGAAAATTTAATATGATTATCCTTATCCACCAATCTTCTTTGAAAACAAGACTAAGCAACAAACTATTTCTCTTTTGTTATATGGAGATGGGTTTGTTGCTTACGTTACTGTATTACTAGTGTGTGTGTGTGTGTGTGTGTGTGTGTGTGTGTGTGTGTGTGTGCATTCGTGATTGTGTGCATATGTGGAAACTAGAGAAGGCTATTAGCCTCTCACTCTCTACCTTACTCTTTTGATACAGTGTTTCTCACTGAACTGGAGGTAGATTGTTACCGAGCAAACCATATTGGCACTCCCATCTCTGGCTTTTATATGTGTTCTGAAGTCCAAGCTTAGGTCCTTAATCTTTTGTTCATTTCACTGTCAGTTAATATTTTGTTCATTTGTTTCTCCAGCCTGTGTTCCATGCCTGACCCATCTCTGCCGTTTGGAAATTCGGGCCAGTCTAAAAGCAGAGCACCTTCGTTCTAACAGTTTCATCCATCAGTTGCCTCTTCCTCGAAGTCTGCGGAGCTATTTGCTCTATGAAGAGGTTTTGAGGATGAACGAAATTCCAGAACCTGCAGCTATTCATGATGTAGAAAGCAGCGAGGCTTCTGACAGCTCACTTGTCAGTGCTGTTTAGTCACAAAAGATGGGACTGTTTACAGCTGGACTGCCAGCCCCTCCTCCCCAATACTGAGAACTTTACTCATCCTGCCTTATTCAGTTGTCTCCAGTGTACTTTGTTTTGTAGTGTTTGCTGACCTGATCATTTTCTGCTTTGTTCTGCTACTGAGCTGTGATGCTGCTATGGTGCTGGATGTGACCTCTTCCCAGTTAAGGTTCGTGTTCACCTGTGCTTGATACCAGGGATGGAAGCCATAAACTTCCCAGGAAGAAGATATAATAACTGTGCTTTCGAATCACTTAACACTGTTATTTTATTTATGCACTAACATCCTCTATGTTTATAAAAGGAAATTTTCCTGTGTTGTCATAATCTGTTCTTGTTTTTTAATTCAGATATTCTTGTATTTTAACATGTAAACTCAGGGGAAAGTTTTTGAAGAACATAGATTTCAGTCATATTGTTTTCTTAGATCCTTTCTTCATACTTTTTGGCAAAATATACCCCATTTTCAGTCTGCAAAGGTAAGAACACACCTAAACTCAAAGGCATACTCACTATAAAAATTACATCATTTTTAGAAATATTGTACTACATTCAGAATATTAATAAAGAATCCTGAAAGGAACATTCATAACAGCACCATCTGTAGAGACAGGAGCACATTTCAGTTGTCTAATGCTAAATAGAACAATCAGACTTCATTCAGCTCTAGAATAAGAGGGCAGGTTTGTTTCTATGAATCAGTAATAACCAATAATATTCTATTCATACACACAATACTTTCCCTCTTAATACCTGGATGTATTTTTGGACCATTGATAAAATAAAGACCTCAGAGTCCTACCTTGTGAGTTTTTACAATAGCTTTATCTAGACCTTGAGTCAAGAAAAATCAAACATCATCAAGACATTTGTCTGAGAGACTGGAAGTTGGCCTTGAGAGGTGGATATTAGGGTGTTACTGTCATAATAGGCAGCACAGGCTGATTTCTACAGGAGGCAGAACTTCATCTCTTGCCAGCAACCTGTGCTTGGTTAGATCATCTGGACCCATCTCCAATAGACTCTTAAAACAAGCATGATGAAGGTGGACTTCATTAGAATGAGTTGGGAAGACTAACTCATTTCTCATATTCAAAGTCTTGTTTGATGTACATGTATAGTTAGATATTGAAAATCAGGCATAAGTTCTGATCATTCAATTTAACAAAGGTTTTCCAAAATTGTATGCACTATGATGTGTGTGTGTGTGTGTGTGTGTGTGTGTGTGTGTGTGACCTTTGTTTTTCAAACTCTGTTTCAGGTTTTATTTTTGGTCATGGCTAAGTATACACATAATGTTTTTACAGAGTACCTTTTAATGTATTCTGTTTGTGTTCAAATGTATTACAAAAATCCAGTTTTCCATAAGCTAGCATTGAGGTTTTATTTTTGAAGCCTAAAATTCAGTACAGATGGCCCCTCCCTGGCTGGTGATTTTTTTGACTTTACAGGAGTGAAAAAGTGACAAGCATCCCATAGAAACTGCACTTTAAACATCATCTTTTCCTAGGCTAGCAATACACAGTACGCTAGTCTCTTGGAGTCTGATGATACTGAGAAGTGACAGTGAGCTGTCATGTGGTCACAAGGATGTCTATAGAGGCATGAATGTTCACAGATACGCACTGGAGAAACTAGGAATGCTAGACATGCAGAGTTATCTTTTTAATGGAAGGGGGAATGCACAGCTGTTTTCCCACCCAGAAGGCTGGGGTGGATATTGTTAATAACCTGGTGACCTTTGCTATCTGTAGGGTGAGGCCTCACCCAAATCCCTCAGAATGTTTATTCCAGGCTCCCCATCCCTAGACCTTTATCCACTTTGTTTCTCAATAGAACCCATCCTTAGGGGAGGTGTCACATGTAGTTTATAGCCTGGTGCCCACTACACTATCTTGGTCAGAGACCACACCAGATTATTTGAAGATTCAAAGCCGAGCCCCCCAACACGTACCACTTTAAAGTCCATATCTCCTCATCCTTCCCAAACAGTTCCACCAAGTGGAGAGTAAGTATTCAGACATAAGTTAATGGGGGTCGTGCTCATTCTGATTACCTCAGTGGGATGGGCAGGTGATTCAAGGATTAAGAGCACTTCCTGTTCTTTCAGAAGACCAGGGTTTAGTTCCCAATACCCATACAGAGTGGCTCACAACTGCTGCTGCAGGCATTCATTGTTGTCGAAGCCCAGACTGCTCTGAAGCCCAGACTATGTAGCCTGTCTTGGCCTCAGATTTACCATGATCTTCCTGCCTTAACCTCACCACTGTTGGGATTATAGATACGAGTCACCACATGTAGCTAAGTCTTTGGTTTTGAAATTGGTTAGTGATTATTCTGGTTTGTGTCTCGAGTGGCCCCAAAAGGTCTATGTATTAAATGTTTGCTCTCTAGTTTGTGGTGCGCCTGGAAAGTTTTAGGAGATGGATAGACCATTTGAGGAAATATTGGAACTCCTGTCTTCTGTTTCCTGATATGCATTTCAAGTGGGCATCTTTGCTCTACTTCTTTATATCATAGGCCCAAAGTTATAAACAGACCAACCATGGAATGAAAACCTCCCAAACTAAAATAAAACTTTTCTCCCTTTAAGTTGGCCATCTTAGGTGTTTTTTTCAGTTGGGGGAAACTGACTGATATGGTCATATTGCTTAACCTTATTGTATGCGATGCTTCTTTTAGTCCTTTTTATATTAAAATACTATTTTGGTGATTTGTAAGCACTCAGTGAAGAATGTAATCTTAAAGCATGCAAAAAGTGAGTTGTGTTTACAGCTTCTGATCAGAATATACATCTGCTTACAAGAGCATTAACCCTGCCGCACATGCACAGTGGTGCTTTAGTACTTAAGAGTCCAGTGAATTGCAGGTGTGGGATACCTCTATACATGTTATCGACTAGTCAGTGAGTCTCCACAGGCCAGCGTAAGGTAGTCCATTGTTCTTGGTTGCCCACCATTGCTAGATAGATGCTCTTGCTAAAGACACCACACATTTTGATTGCAGGACATACAAAAAAATCAATTTTAAAGTTACTGGGGAAACTTCCTCCATGCCAACTAGCTTTCATGGTGTCAAAGGGTGATACTGAGACCACTGGTGGAATAAAGTCATTAGTGAACTTGCCCACTGTGGACCCTTTATGTTATCATGCTGACCTGCCACGGAAGATACACATCATGCCTACTGATGCAATAGTGCAATGGTTGTCATCAGGGTAACCAATTATGTTCTTCTTGAATGTGAGCCTGGTTCATAGGAAGGAATTCATGCCTAGAACTGTAAACATAATCAAAAATCCATATATGGGTATGTTCAAAGCTTTAATGTGTGTAGAGGGATCTACCACTGTTATTTTGCAAAATGTGTTGTCAGACTGCTTTCTAAGTATTTATGGTCACCCCTGTAGATTAATTCTGCCTTCCAACCATGAGCAGAGAAGCTTCCTTTTCCAGTAGAAAACAGTGAATGCAGAAACTCATACCTACTTATCCAAGCCCATGTACATTTATCTAAAACTGTGACCCATTTAGAGGTATTTTCCATGGGAATTTATCTTTATTGTGTGTCTGTAATCCTTTTTCTGACCATGACCACTTCTTAAAATGCTAAGTGGCATGGCTAGGACCAAGACTGCTTTGCCTTTTGGGTATACCCAGTCCAACATGGTGGAGGTCCATTCACTGCCTCTGAGACTGTCAGGTAAGCCATCCTCACCACCTCGACTCTGGTAAGCAGTTGGCATATTCTGCCATCAAGTAACTTGCAGCACGCTGCCCACAAATCCCATTCAAGTGCTTGGCCTCCTGAAAGAGCCAGAGTTCATGGTGGCAGCACAAACCAGGAACCAGCCATTTCAAATCCATGTAGTTTCTTGCTGCTAATGCTATAACAGGAAGATCTCTCTTAAAGGAGCCACAGCACTTCGGCTAGCCACCAGTAAACAGAGTCCATTTGGAAAAAAAAAAACAAAAACAAAACCAAAAAAAACCTGTGGCTTCTAAGAAGCCATGCTTAACTCAGTTCTTTTGTGTCTAGATTTCCTTTCTAAGCTCGCTCAAGTTTTATGTGAATGTAGCTGGCCCAGGTTGGCATGCCAAGATAGTTATAATTATAAAAGATAGATTAGACATAAAACTTTAGACTCACAAAGATAGGATAGATGATAGAATAGTTTCCTTAATTTACCAAATGTAAATGGACTAATTATCATAACGATAATTCTTGATAACTGTTTTGTTGTATGAAATCTTGCTATGTTAAAATTAAAACCTTCCTTTTTATTAAGACAGAAAAGGGGAGGCAGATTTCCTCTCTGTATGCTGTGAATACCATTGGTCAGTAAAGAAGCTGCTTTGGGCCTATTGCAGTGCAGAACAGAACAAGGGGGGACGTCCAGGCAGAAAGATATAGAGAGTGGGTAGGCAGAGTCAATGAGATGCCATGTAGCCGTCAGAGTAGACAGATGCTGGATTCAGGACTAAACCTTACCAGCAGACCACAACCATGTGGCAATACACAGATCAAAGAAATGGTTAGTTTAAGATGTAAGAGCAAGCTAGAAATATGCATATGCTAACAGTCCAAGCAGTGTTTTACTTAATACAGTTTCTGGGTGAGATTATTTCTGGGTGGTCAGGAATGGACGAGTGGCCTCTGACAACAGAGGGAGAAGAGAGAGAGAGAGAGACCCTAGACAGAAGAAGGAAGATGGATCTGTTCTCCTCCCATCTTGGTCCATTATTAATGTTTACCATTCTATTGGAATATTATCTGAAGTTTTTATGGTTTTAATATATGCAGAAGTTTAACAAATTGAGGAAAGTTAAATAATTTAAAAAAACCAATTTCACAATTTTGTCCTGGTCCATTCTTTTCATCAAATCATTGGCATGAAACCTGCAGCCAAGCTAAAGCCATGTGTTTACAGACTTCTGAATCAGTAAGAGTAAGAAAAAACGAAGTGCCTGCCAATTCTTTTTCTACAATTGCCTGAAGAAAGCAAAAAAGAGGGGGGGGGGCTGGAGAGATGGCTCAGTGGTTAAGAACATTGCCTGCTCTTCCAAAGGTCCTGAGTTCAATTCCCGGCAACCACACGGTGGCTCACAACCATCTGTAATGGGGTCTGGTGCCCTCTTCTGGCCTGCAGACATACACACAGACAGAATATTGTATACTTAATAAAGAAATATTTTTAAAAAATCCTCAAGCCTCCATTTTGTAAAAGAAGCTGGAAGTACAGGTAAGATCTCTGTTTAGGGTAGCCCTACAAGTGTGTGTCTATGTGCATGTATGATGACTTTTTTAAAGGAGGTATACCTTTTGAAATGGTCTTACTGTAATTGATGTTGGCCTGGAGCTGTGTAGCCCTGATTGGCCTGGAACCCATTGCAATCCACCTTCTTAAGTCCCCTGCATGTTGAGATTACAGGTGTGAGTCATGACACCTGGGTTTATAGAAGAATTTAAAATTGTTGCAGCTAGCAAAGACTTTGTGGCATGCTTTCTTTGAGTTTTAGCTGCTTTTTAATGCATAGCATTAATTGATGAAGCAGAACAAATGGGAATTGCCATTGGTGCACCTAGACCTTGAAGATACCTGTTTTTGTCTCTTCTATCATCAAATGGTTTGCATAACTTCTTCACTGTTTTCCTGTGTCAATGATAAAAACCTATCTGAATTCATTATAATGCACTAATTTACAGTCTTTGTCTAACATAATGAAATAGGTGAAGAAAGTCCGTCTGGTGATGGGTTTGAACTGATCAATTGACAAGGGCATTATACTTCTGATGTTATTGTTGAGCTGTTAGGTCAAATAATAGGAGCCAAGT